AGACAGTGCCGGCTGGCGACCCCAAGGGGGAGGGCCTTCTCTGTGGGAGCTCCCACCCTCTGGAACGAACTGCCCCCAGAGATCAGGGTGATCCCTGATCTCCCTTCCTTCCGCCGCGCCCTCAAGACATGGTTGTTCCAGCTTGCGGGACTGGCCTAAGGGATTTTAAAGGGGTTTTAATTACTTTTAATCAGATTAGCTTAAATATTTCTTTTTATTAATTTTAAAGGTGTATTGTTTGTTTGTATTTTATCTAATTGTTAGCCGCCCTGAGTCCGCAAGGAGAAGGGCGGGATATAAATGTAATTAAATAAATAAATAAATAAATAATAATGGAATTAAATTAACCCAATAGGCTGGATTCAGACAACATGCTAACCCCTCTCCCCAACCTCATTCATGCTAACACCAGCCAGACTCACCATACAGTGAAAATGCATCCTGAATATTTTTAACAGACCTGATTAGTTAAACGGCTTCTGAGACTACAGCCTAAAATGAATTCTAACATTCTTAAAACTGGTAGTAAATGAGGACGGGTCAAGAGGTTTGCAGAAAGCCATAGTTATGTCTGCCCTAAGACTATAGAACGTGCTTCTATCTTCTATCAATTTTATTCCCCTCCCCTTCTTTCTTATAGGGGGATTGACTTTGATGGAAACACTGTAGGATTTGCTTACATAGGCAGCATGTGCATGCCGAAGCATTCTGTAGGAATTGTTCAGGTTAGTACAAAGGATACTTGTTATCTACAGTATTTGTATTCAAGTGAAAACCTATATACAGGCATAACTTCTTTACAAATAAACTCACTTCTTATTTTTGATCCACATCATTTTCATCCATATTTATTTATGGATTTGACATCTCCAGGTCGTGCCTCAACTGATGGCATTTTGGCATAAAGCATTCCAGGCATGTTGTAGAACAAGCTTTTTGTACGTAAAGAACTATGTATCAGAAGATGACAATAATATTATAATGTTTCTGGATCAGGAGGAATCAAACTGTGCTCTAACTGCTAAATGAGCAGGTCAAATCCTGTTACAATACTTCCAAATAATGCTTCTGAACAATATTCTTAGCAATCCTAATGACAAACATGAATCACCCTTCTTTCATTCCAAGAAATTTAGGATCTAGATTGCATATGACTGAATTATAGTATATTGAGAAAATGAGAGAATACTAAATCTACTTAAAAGGAAAAAAAATGCCAGTATTTTAAAATCCTGCAAGAGAACCATATCAGTTAAGGTGATGCTATGCATTTATTGAGAAACAGTAAACTTAGCTTTTTGTTCACATAGAAAGAATGGAGAGAAATGGCAATAAACAAAACGTATACAACAAAACTCATAAAATTTTGTTTCTTAATAAGCAGAGTTAGGATCCTGGTAGTAGGAGGTAATCCTGTTTCCACCAGAAGGTCATTTTATTCAGAAAGAGCAACTCATTCTTAATTCTGTTTAGGATGGCTACCTTCAATATTCTGAAAATGCTAGCTTGTAGCAAAAGATACTGAATACTTTTTGGACTGAAGTTGCCTGTAAGTTTTAGTAACTGAATAAATGCAGACAGCAAATGGATGCATGCGTTTTGATCTTCTCCTGTGCTGTAGCTTCTGGGCTTTAAAGTTTCCTTCTAGATGTATTTGTGTATGTTCTGGAGTATTGGTGGACCCACATACATTCAGAAAAGTTAGAGGAATCCTGAGATGGTATCCCCGACTCAAAAATTGGTCAATTAGTCACCAGTTTTAGCCACTTAGTGCTAATAATAATAATTGGATTCACTTTCAGTTTCTTGGTGGACTAAGAATAAAGTATTCTCGTTTCTTCAGGATCATGGTAAATCATATCATTTGGCTGCAGTTACAATGGCCCATGAGATGGGTCATAATCTGGGCATGCATCATGACAGAAATTCCTGTACATGCCTTGCTCACTCATGCATAATGTCTGCGACACTAAGGTAAGGATTGAGGAAAACTTTTAATGCTTTTCCAATCAAGTTATTTTTAAATGGTTGCAATTAATTGTTAAATAAAATATGCTGACAAATTACAAAAATGAAATGGCCGGGGAGTTACAAAAAAAAGGTTTTTGGTCATTTGTGTGTCACTTTACCATGTGTAGTTAGAATGTCTCGTATTTAAAAAGGTAGAAATGTTCTCAACAATTGAATAGCCATCCTTCAGTAGCTTCCTCCAAAACACCAGAGTTTAAAGAAACAGCGTAGGAAGCATAGCCAAAGAAACCAAATATTAATATCTGTGATGGATAAAAGAGGAAACCAAGTTAGACGTTAAAGACTTTCCTAAAGTGGGAAGCGTAATGGGAGGTAAATTATTCTGAACAAGGCAACAGCAGGAAGAAAAGGATAAATTAGCATCCTTGGGGTTTTCCTGCCTCGCCCTTTCATCAAGGTAGAATATGTTACATCTCTGTCACATATTGCAGTCTTCTGAAATCAGCAGGTAGCAACGTACAGGAAGTCATTGACTTACAACCATTTGTTTAGCAACCGTTCGAAGTTACACTGGCCCTGAGAACAGTGACTTACGACCGGTCCTCGCAATTACAGCCATCACAGCCTCCCTTCAGTCACAGAATCGTGTATTTATGACGCTTGCAGCATCCTTCATTCCTGGGATCCTCATTTGGGACTTTCCCATCTGTCTTCCCATATGCAAAGCCAATGGAGCAAGCTGGGTCCCTTATTGACTGTGTGGTTCACTTAACAAAGTGGGAAAACTGGCTGTAAAACTCAGCACAACTCACTTAACAACTGGCTTGCTGGACAATGGAAATTCTGGTTTCAGTTGTGACAGCAAGTCAAGGACTACCAATATTTTCTTCTGGGTGGAAGTTCAGGCCTTACTTCATCAAGAAGGAAAAAGGAAACAAAATCATCTCAGCAATTGTCTGTTGCAAAACTCCCCATAACTTTTGTGTAAGCGTTTTGTGTAGGCTCAGTGAGCATCCCAGCTGTTGATCAATTTCTGGTTTCTTCGGCTAAAGCCCTAGGACTTCATTGCCTCCCATTTCATGCAATGGCAAGAAGGCCAGGAAGTATGGAGAATGCCATGTAGCCTTTCCTGTCCTTCCTGAAGGATTTCTGGGCATCGTGATTACCCTTTAATACTTCTAGACACTTTATGATGTTTTGTACGGAAGACTTTGTTTAGAAAATTTTTTGTTCAAATAACCCCACCAAAGGGGTCTGGTGCAACTTTGACCTTGAAAGAAGACCATCTTGTCTATTTAATGGCCACCAGCAGATTCTCTTTGCGTTCTTGTTTCCACCCGATAACTTGAGGACCAATGATTATATTCCTAACAATTTGAATTAACATTAGGAAGATGCTTTGCTGGGTTTATGATGCCATATTTGCATCTATTTAAGTATTCAGCTTCAGAGGCCAGTGGCATGTTGCTGATATTTTCACTTTTCAACAAAAGAAATCAACAACGAATATTTTAAGGCAAATAGAGAGTTGGCACGCTTAGCTCTCTCTTCATTGTTATAAAAAGTACAATCCCTCCAAAAGAAGAAAAGGAAAATTGGATCAAAATTGCACTGTTTTCCCTTCAATTATATTATTTTCCTTCCACAGAGAGGCTGACTAAAAATGAAAATAAAAGGCAGCTCACTCAAACACAAGACGCAGCTCAATCAATTAATATCACATGGAGTTCTCGTTACAAATGTATTTTGTTAAAAAAGAAGGGAAAGTTAGTGGAATTAAACTGAGGGAGCATAATCTGGGACTAAGATCAAGGGATACATAGTGTTCTCTTATCTATTTTGTTAGCTTTAGAGGAAAAAAATCACTGCATTTCTTCATTAGCCATCCTTTTTCCATCTTATATGTTTTTGCAATCAATCCTGTTCCTAATACAAATATGGATAAAGTCATGGTCTTATTTTGGTTCATCTCTACAGCAACGAACCTTCCTATCAGTTCAGCGATTGTAGTAAGGATGACCATCTGAGGTATCTTATTAGTCATACCCCACAATGCATTCTCAAGGAACCCTTGAGAACAGATATTGTTTCACCTGAAGTTTGTGGAAATTACCTTGTGGAGGAAGGAGAAGAATGTGACTGTGGCCCTTTATGGGTAAGATTTTTTTTAATCAACCAGAGTAATTTGAAGACCTTTCTCAAAAATGGGAATACTTGAAAAATCGTCTGGCTTTCTAAATGGTTTGAGCCATCCAAGAGGTTGGTTTGTGAATGGCATAGGTTTCTGCCCTTTATATGCAGTCATGTATGAAGGGGTTTCTTGGATTTGGTTAACAAGTTTAGAGGAATGGAGAACTGGTACCTCACTACCATTTGGGGAAGATGGTGTATTTTTTAAAATGGGTGATTGACAACTCCAAGAAAATCCTTCCCTCCTGAAAAGTCCTATTTTGTTGACATGGCCACATTATCTGTCCCACTATTTTCTTGAGCTGCTTTCTCCCATATCTGATGATCTTTAATCTATGCTCTGATCCTAATAATATTTTTTATAAGACCAGTAATTTAGTGTTCTTTTTATATTGTTAAATACACTTGTAATGGTCTGTGAGAATGTCCTTGAGAGACAAAAGAAGGAGGAAATGTCTACTCAATGATCATTTAAGAAGTAGATTAGCCTGCAGAAGCAATGGGGCATGGCAAACATCTCAAGAAGAACACCTCCCACCCATTCTCTTGGTCCGTAAATATGAGGTGGTAGAAATATACTTTCAGTACTGAAAGATTCTGCTACGGTAACCTTACAATCAGGGTAGTGTTAATACTCATGGTTGGTGCTTCTTCTCTGGACTACCTCAAATGTTGGCATGATGAGTAGAAAATCCCCCATGAATAAGAAAGGAATGGGGCTGTAGGTTATGTGGGCTTCACAATTAGGAGATGAGGATATTTTTGTTTTATTCTTGTCACATAGGAAATATCAGATAAGGCTCTTCCACAGAGAGATGCCATTATCCGTTTGCAATAACAAACAATTTGTACATTTGTTAGCATGAACCCATAAGAGGGAACACATTGCAGAAATGTTTTTTTCCTTGGCAGTTTCCTTCTTCAAAATAGACCAATTAAAAAATACTAGGCCGCAAAGTCTATGATATCATTTGATATGTTTTGGTTTTCAGAATTGTCAAAATCCATGCTGCGATGCTGCAACCTGTAAACTGAGACCAGGGGCGCAGTGTGCAGAAGGACTGTGTTGTTACCAATGCAGAGTAAGACTTGTTTATTTTTAATACCAGGAGAGATTTTACCCTGCTCCATACTAGCAAAAAGGAAATGTAATATCTCTTGGCTGTTTACTATGATCAAAACATTTCAAACCTATTCCTATCCCTTCTTTCAGTTTATTTGACCCTTATGAACATATCCATAGGTAGGGTAATTTAATAAAATTTCAGTCTTCTCTCAATCTCAAATGCACTCTTTCAGCATGTTAAATCATATCTGTGAAAATAATATCTTTGTTCTTTGACTGAGATTGCATGGAAACCTAGTTTAAACTAGGAGAGGCAATGTTTGAGATTGGTGCCCTAACTGAGCTTCCTAACTTTCTGGAAGCTTCTAAGAGGTCCCTGGTAATGCTGTGACATTTTTCTCTCTGAGCCTTTTAGGATGGAAATAGGTGCAGGAGACTTCTGGAAGTAAAGTTGCCCTTTTTCCCCTTTAAGTTCTCTACCTGCTCTCTAAAGCTCCAAATTCAGGTGTTTTTGTGGCGCATTCTGGAGGTGCTGCAGGACCAATGAAAGAGAGGTGCTAGTTCCTCATTCCTTCTTTTTATGTGGGATCCCAGTTGACTCTGTAATGAACTTTTTGAGCAGAGTGGCCCAAAACTTTTTGTTATTTGCATATTTCCATCACAAGCCTAGATTCACAGCAGGAGAAGGGAGCCTCGTGTTTTTCAGCACCTGACAGAAAATTCTATGAATGCTTCTTCCCATGTAGAGAAATAAAAATATTTCATGAGAAGTTCAGCAATTCACTTTTTGTTGCTTTTTCATGGCAGCCCGACTGATTTTCCCTTTATGGTCGGCCAACAGGTAGAACTTGTCTTTCAGGAATTGAGCCTTTCATTGCAATCATTTTCCCGTAGCAAATAAGACAGACTGGGACTTCTAGGCACCACACACAGTTGTAGCAGGGCAGGGATGCCTTGCTTGGTGATCCTCTAGACAGATGAAGAGGAGGTTTTGAAATGTGTTATGAACCATGGTTTGACTCTTTGATCTCTGCTGCTGAAGTTGATAGCTGGGAGTATTTTTGATTCTCACCCACAGTTTAGGACAGCAGGAGCAGAATGCCGGCCAGCAAGGAGTGTGTGTGATTTGCCTGAACAGTGCACAGGCCAATCTGCTGACTGTCCCACAGATCGCTTCCATAGGAATGGACAACCATGCCTAAACAACCATGGTTACTGCTACAATGGGAATTGCCCCATCATGTTATACCAATGTATTACTCACTTTGGGTTAGGTAAGTCAACCTTAGGATTTCAGAATAGTGGTGTTATAAAAGATTAAGACAGTCATTGCCATTAATGAAAGATATTTTCTCCTTTGTATTCATTAATCATCATTTCATTTCTGTTCTACAACAGAGTTGGAAGGAGCCTTCTAGTCCAACTCCCTGCTCCCTACCATTTCCAATCTCTTCCTTAAAAAATCTCCATTGTTGTAGCACCCACAACTTCTGAAGGTGTTGTCCAGATGGAATAATTTTTCAAGATGAAGTTCTTTCTTTGTTGGATTTTTGGCAGTTGCAGCACACTGATGGTGCATATTTAAGTGATTGTCCACTAGGACTCCAAAATCCCTCTTACAATTATAGTACTGAGCCAGATATCATCTATTCTGTACCTGTGATTTGGTTTTTCTTGCCTAAATATAGAATTTTTTTTACCTTTTTCACCATTGAATTTATTTTGTTAGATAGGGTCAAGTGTTGAAGTCACTTGAGATCCTCCTGGATCTTTAGCCTATCTTCTGGAGGGATGGCTATTCCCGCCAGCTTGGCGTTGTCTGTAAATTTGATCAGTTGCCCTTCTGTCCCCTTGTCTACGTTATTTATGAAGGGTCAAATGGCATTTGATGGTGATTGGGAATCCAAATTGAAATCAGAACATTGTTTCACTTGTATGATCAATCCATCAATTTGATTAATAAATAAATGGATGCTTGCTGGATTATTTCCATTGCTTTGAAAATGGAAACTCTCAGTTCAAACAAAGAAATCTTTATTTTGGTCAGTTAAATAGCATAAAATGATGTAACATTCCAAAGAATGGAAATAACTCAAGTAATCCAGCTATATTCAGAAAGGCTTATGCCCAGGAATTGACAGGCCTCAAGCCAAGAATGACACATGACGGTTCTTACAAGCTGAGTTCTTTCTTCTTTCATTCCTGTAGACAAAATCTTGCTGGATTAAGGACTCTACTATCCGCATCTACAATACACTCTGTGGATAATTAGGGAGGAGCTGTCTTCGCCCTCTTTCTCTCACATGTAATATTGGGGCTGAATTGCCTCTTATTCATCCTAACTGCACCCCCTCCCACCCAGTGATCCCCCTCCTCACTGCATTCGAGCACAGGAATGTATCTACAATAGTGTTAAACTTGGAAAATGGAGAATGAGGACACAGAGGAATGAAGTTGCACTCAGATTCCCCTCCAGTCATTGATTTACTACAGGGTCTTCTGCAACTTGCATAGAGTGGCTTCAGCTTTTATGTCCATAAAATGAAATAAGGAAGTTTAGTGTATTACTGTGTCAGATAGAGAATGATTCAGTCATAATGATGATTAGATAATTAATGGATTACAAAATAATAGGTTACAAATTAATTTTAATTTAATTTAATTTAATAATTTAATTTATATACCGCCCTTCTCCCGTAGGACTCAGGGCGGTGCACAGCATATTAAAACAGATACAAACAAAATACATCAAAAAACAAAAAACCCCCATAAAACCAAATTAAAAGCCAAATATTGGAAGCTGTGTGTCAATTAAAATTTTCTTAAAATCATCCCTACCTAAAANCAATGCAGAGTAAGACTTGTTTATTTTTAATACCAGGAGAGATTTTACCCTGCTCCATACTAGCAAAAAGGAAATGTAATATCTCTTGGCTGTTTACTATGATCAAAACATTTCAAACCTATTCCTATCCCTTCTTTCAGTTTATTTGACCCTTATGAACATATCCATAGGTAGGGTAATTTAATAAAATTTCAGTCTTATCTCAATCTCAAATGCACTCTTTCAGCATGTTAAATCATATCTGTGAAAATAATATCTTTGTTCTTTGACTGAGATTGCATGGAAACCTAGTTTAAACTAGGAGAGGCAATGTTTGAGATTGGTGCCCTAACTGAGCTTCCTAACTTTCTGGAAGCTTCTAAGAGGTCCCTGGTAATGCTGTGACATTTTTCTCTCTGAGCCTTTTAGGATGGAAATAGGTGCAGGAGACTTCTGGAAGTAAAGTTGCCCTTTTCCCCCTTTAAGTTCTCTACCTGCTCTCTAAAGCTCCAAATTCAGGTGTTTTTGTGGCGCATTCTGGAGGTGCTGCAGGACCAATGAAAGAGAGGTGCTAGTTCCTCATTCCTTCTTTTTATGTGGGATCCTAGTTGACTCTGTAATGAACTTTTTGAGCAGAGTGGCCCAAAACTTTTTGTTATTTGCATATTTCCATCACAAGCCTAGATTCACAGCAGGAGAAGGGAGCCACGAGTTTTTCATCATGTGACAGAAAATTCTATGAATGCTTCTTCCCATGTAGAGAAATAAATATATATCATGAGAAAGTTCAACAATTTACTTTTTGCTGATTTTTCATGGCAGCCCAATTGATTTTCCCTTTATGGTTGGCCAACATGTAGAACTTGTTTTTCAGGAATTGAGCCTTTCATTGCAATCATTTCCCCGTAGCAAATAAGACAGACTGGGACTTCTAGGCACCACACACAGTTGTAGCAGGGCAGGGATGCCTTGCTTGGTGATCCTCAAGACAGATGAAAAGGAGGATTTTGAAATGTGTTGGGAACTATGGTTTGACTCTTTGATCTCTGCTGCTGAAGTTGATAGCTGGGAGTATTTTTGATTCTCACCCACAGTTTAGGACAGCAGGAGCAGAATGCCGGCCAGCAAGGAGTGTGTGTGATTTGCCTGAACACTGCACAGGCCAATCTGCTGACTGTCCCACAGATCGCTTCCATAGGAATGGACAACCATGCCTAAACAACCATGGTTACTGCTACAATGGGAATTGCCCCATCATGTTATACCAATGTATTACTCACTTTGGGTTAGGTAAGTCAACCTTAGGATTTCAGAATAGTGGTGTTATAAAAGATTAAGACAGTCATTGCCATTAATGAAAGATATTTTCTCCTTTGTATTCATTAATCATCGTTTCATTTCTGTTCTACAACAGAGTTGGAAGGAGCCTTCTAGTCCAACTCCCTGCTCCCTACCATTTCCAATCTCTTCCTTAAAAAAATCTCCATTGTTGTAGCACCCACAACTTCTGAAGGTGTTGTCCAGATGGAATAATTTTTCAAGATGAAGTTCTTTCTTTGTTGGATTTTTGGCAGTTGCAGCACACTGATGGTGCATATTTAAGTGATTGTCCACTAGGACTCCAAAATCCCTCTTACAATTATAGTACTGAGCCAGATATCATCTATTCTGTACCTGTGATTTGGTTTTTCTTGCCTAAATATAAATTTTTTTTTACCTTTTTCACCATTGAATTTATTTTGTTAGATAGGGTCAAGTGTTGAAGTCTCTTGAGATCCTCCTGGATCTTTAGCCTATCTTCTGGAGGGATGGCTATTCCCGCCAGCTTGGCGTTGTCTGTAAATTTGATCAGTTGCCCTTCTGTCCCCTTGTCTACGTTATTTATGAAGGGTCAGATGGCATTTGATGGTGATTGGGAATCCAAATTGAAATCAGAACATTGTTTCACTTGCATGATCAATCCATCAATTTGATTAATAAATAAATGGATGCTTGCTGGATTATTTCCATTGCTTTGAAAATGGAAACTCTCAGTTCAAACAAAGAAATCTTTATTTTGGTCAATTAAACAGCATAAAATGATGTAACATTCCAAAGAATGGAAATAGCTCACTCTTTTCCAAGTAATCCAGCTATATTCAGAAAGGCTTATGCCCAGGAATTGACAGGCCTCAAGCCAAGAATGACACATGATGGTTCTTACAAGCTGAGTTCTTTCTTCTTTCATTCCTGTAGACAAAATCTTGCTGGATTAAGGACTCTACTATCTGCATCTACAATACACTCTGTGGATAATTAGGGAGGCGCTGTCTTCACCCTCTTTCGCTCACATGTAATATCGGGGCTGAATTGCCTCTTACTCATCTGGACTGCACCCCCTCCCACCCAGGGATCCCCCTCCTCACTGCATTCCAGCACAGGAATGTATCTACAATAGTGTTAAACTTGGAAAATGGAGAATGAGGACACAGAGGAATGAAGCTGCACTCAGATTCCCCTCCAGCCATTGATTTACTACAGGGTCTTCTGCAACTTCCATAAAGTGGCTTCAGCTTTTATGTCCATAAAATGAAATAAGGAAGTTTAGTGTATTACTGTGTCAGATAGAGAATGATTCAGTCATAATGATGATTAGATAATTAATGGATTACAAAATAATAGGTTACAAATAAGCAAATATTAACTAGCAAATAATAAGCAACTGATCTCTCCTCTGAGATCTCTTAAGCCATTCTTTATCCTGCTGGCATGTTACACACTCAGGTATTTGTCTTGGTTCCTCACTCCCTCTTGCAGGTGCAACTGTGGGTCATGATGCATGTTTTAATAAAAACCTGCAAGGCCAAGGTCATTTCTTCTGCAGAAGGGAAAACGGTAGAATCTTTCCATGTGCACCACAGTAAGCAATCTAAATTATTTCCTACTATGATGATGATATAAAATAAGGATAATATAAAAAATATTTTTATGTCCACATCTGTTGGAACTTGATTCTATCACCTGGCTAAAACAATAGCCTTACCTTGTTGGGACTAACCTGCCCCAGTGCTTCCGTGGAAAGGGCCTGCTTCGGATTCTGCAACCAAACACTTTTGGGTGGAGAGGTGCAGGAGAAAAGCCTTTTCTGCTGTGGCCCCCCTTGGCAATATTTTCTTGTCAGAGGTGAGGTCTGCCCCCAGAATTCTGGCCTCCCGGAACAGCCTATAAACCTGGCTCTACCTGGGTCCCCAGCATGGGCCTGCTATGTTGGGGAGGGCTGACTGGGTAGAGAAGGTATTCTCACCCACAGACTGCCCTTCATCTTGGTTTTTAATTTTTAACTTTTATTCTAATTGTTTTTAGCAATTTCTAATTTTTTATTGTATTGTATCTCACGCAAGAGACGGGGGGTATGGGAAATAAACAAAATGCTCACAAATAATCAAAAGAACCGACCTCTCATCACTCCATTCTTGTTAATTAGTATGAATTCTCTGTTTCCTTTTCAGGGATGTAAAGTGTGGCAGGTTATACTGCAAACTTCATAATGACAACGCATATCCATGCAGATACAAATATTCAGATGATTATTCAGATGACCTCCTAGATGATGGAATGGTTGATCATGGAACAATATGTGCAGTTGGAAGGGTTAGTAAATGTTTACCTCTAATCGGTGTGCTCTAAAGTCTGATTCCAAGGGGTGATCACTAAAATTTCCAAAATGTATTTTGCTGAAAGCTGGTTTAGATTTTTCACACCACAGTGAATCTAAGTAGAAGAAAAAGTGTCCATCTATCCTTTTTTTTTTTTTTTTTGGTTGTTGTTATTTTGATTTTCCTTCAAACAAAAACCCCAACAAATGAGGTGGATGTCCAGGGCTGTTTCTTTCTTGCAGGAACAAAACGCCTGGCCTTCTCAGAGCCTTGTGCTTCTCTCTCGCAGCATCTTCTGGACAGATAGTCAAGAGACAGTCCTTTCTCTGAACTTGTAGACATCTCCATAGGGAAGGTGGAAGAGAGAAATGAGAGAATCAGGGCAGAGCTGGTTGTGACCTAACAATGAAGCCACTTAGAAATGCTGAAGCAAACCCAAAACTTACCTCAGAGGATCAGGAATCACTTCCCCTTGATTTTTATACAATATACAACCTGAAAGAAGTTTGCGTTAGTTCGGAAAGTGCTGTCTTACTCCATTGATAATATCTTGCTTTGACTTTCAGGTCTGCAGAAACAGGCAGTGTGTTGATGTGAATACAGCCTACTAATCAACCACTGGCTTCTCTCAGATTTGATTTTGGAGATTCTTCTTCCAGAAGGTTTGGCTTCCCTCAAGTCCAAAGAGATCCATCTGTCTTTATTCTACTAGTAAATCACCCTTAGCTTCCAGATGGCATCCAAATTCTGCAATATTTCTTCTCCATATTTAATGTGATTATATTTTGCTGTAATCAAACCTTTTTCCCACCACAAAGCTCCATGGGCATGTACAACACCAAGGGCTTATTTGCTGTCAAGGAAAAAAAATGGCCAGTTTATCATTTGCCAATTGCAAAGTACATTTAATGCAACAAGTTCTGCTTTTTGAACTGGTGTATTCGAAGTGAATGCTTCCTCTCCCAAAATTTCATGCTGGTTTTGCAAGATGTAGCTGCTTCCATCAATAAACTAACTATTCTCATTCTGCATTTTGTAAAGGCTCATTTTTCAAATCTGGTTTGCTGGAGTAAACCGCATCAAGAACTTGCATGCAATCCTGAGGTAAACCATCAGGTGAATTATCTACTGGCATTAAAGGAACTTCACAGTCAACTAATCAAGGAGGGAAGCAATCTAGAACTAAGGAGAAATCTCCTGACAGTTAGAACAATTAACCAGTGGAACAACCTGCCTCCAGAAGCAGTGAATGCTCCAACCCTGGAACTTTTTAAGAAGAGACTGGACAGCCATTTGTCTGAAATAGTATAGGGTTTCCTGCCTGAGCTGGGTGTTGGACTAGATGATCTCCAAGGTCCCTTCCAACTTTATTGTTGTTGTTATTATTATTATCCAGAAAATTCAAAAGATAGTATTTTGTCTCAGAAGGAGCCCCTAATAATAAATAAATCCACATATTGCAACACAGTTCCAAAGGTGCTTTTCAAAAGACAGGTGGACCTTTTTGTTTCTTTTCCTTGAAAATCTTTCACTTCTCAGCCAAGTGAAGAACTGAAGAAGCTTCTTGGATAAGAAGGAAAACATTTTTTTTTAAAAAAACACTTATAATATTGACTTGTAAGTCCATCTGAGCTAGCAACTTTGCCTAATTTTATTTTTCTTAGCTGTCCATAGGTGACTTTTGCAATCCAATTTTTTTCTTTCTGATTGCATTGAATACCTTTTGGGTCTTTTCCAGAGATTTCCTATTCTCTAACTGATTATATTGTATAAAATAACCCCTCATAACTGCCTTACTACCCTTCCAGACAGTTTTTAGGTCAGTTGTTAATCTCCATCTATAATTCAAACTTTTTTTTCTAAGTACCAAAACAACTGGATTATAGTCAGAAAAAGATTTAGGTAAGGTATCAACTTTCAAAATTTTATTTGCTAAGTTTTTAGAGGTCCATCTCATGTCAATCCTTGAAAAAGATTTGTGTCTTTCTGAAAAAAAGGTATATTCTCTTGTGGAGCCATTTTTATGCCTCCATGAGTCTACTAGCATCAAATTGTCCATCATTTCAAAGAATGTCTTTGAATTTACCCTGGGAGGGTTTGATCCCCTTAATAGATGTTCTATCCCAAAGTGGCAAAGTCACACCATTCCAATCCCCCAACATAAGCCAATTTTCATATGAAAAAGGCGAGAGTTGGTTCATAAGGTACTCAAAGAAATTGCTTCTTACAAATCTACCATATTCATCTGATCAAAGTAGCCTAGGTTTAAATTGGGATTTTATATAAAAAACACTCAATTAATCTTTTTTAGCCCAGCAGATATAAATTCCTCCCCATGTCTTTTATTTGCTAAATATTTCTGGACTTGTTTTTAATATGTGTTTCGTGAAGACAGATTATATGAGCATTAAGTTTTCTCAGATAGTGAAATACTTTTTTATGCTCAGATGGGGTTTTCGAGAAGAGATTGGACAGCCATTTGTCTCTAACGGTACAGGGTCTCCTGCCCTGGGCAGAGCTTGGAAGAGAAGACCTCCAAGGTCTCTTCCAGCCCCATTGTTCTATGTTCTATGATTGCTCTTGGTTATCTGCAACTGACAATAGGTCTGTAATTATACAATGGGAGCTGCACAATGTGGATAGTGCTGATATTCAAAGGTCTCCAGGGACAGGTCCTGATTCCAAAGACTTAAATCTGGCCCTTCTTTCTTTGATGCCAACTTTCCCCCCCAAAATAAGACTTTAATCCCAGTGTAACAATTCTATAAGTGTATTGGAAATGGCTGCTGCCAGTTATGGAATATTGCGGCTTGGCAAGGAACCACGTCTCCTTGTTTACAGTAAACATCACCCTCTTTGGAAACAATTTATTGACAGCTCATAAATGACAAATGAGACTTTGTTCTCTTTCCTTTTCTATTGACGTTGTGATTCAGGAGGACTTTCAGCCTGCAAAGTCTGTGCCCACACAAATATTTTCAGTTTTTCTTGCCTTTTCAAAGAAGTTTCGATCAACTGATGAGTGGGGTGAAACGGATATTAACTTCCTGGAGAAAATACTTCTCTAAGATTCCCTGCCTAACTTTTTTTTAAAAAAAAGGTTAAGTTGCAAAAAGGAAGAATGATCCCAGCATGCTTTGAATCATTTGCAAATCTACCAAGGTCTATTCTAGACTTTCCAATGAATTTTAACATTTATTTTACTTTGGTATCTTTTTCAAGGGCCAGTGTGATATAAATTAAGATGTTGGATTGGACTCAGGATAGCCATCTTTAGGTCTCCAGTTGCCATGCAACTCACTGGATGACTTTGGACAATTATTTTTCTTAGCTCAGACTAACTCTCAAGTCATGTCATGTATATCTTGAGCTCCATGGAGGAAATGAGGGAGATTAATGTAAGAGAATAAAATAGATTCTTGAATACAGCATTTATGCAGCAATTTTCAGTCTTTTCCAGAGATTTTTTTTTATTCTCTAACTGATTATATTGTATGAAATAACCCCTCATAACTGCCTTACTACCTTTCCAGACAGTTGTTAGGTCTGTCCAGTTGCCTAGATTATTATCAAAATAGTCATGTAATTTCTTTTTATAGTCCTTTACAATTTCCTCCCTGAGTCTACTAGCGTTAGATTGTCCATCATATGGACTCAGGATAGCCATGTTTAGGTCGCCAGTTACCATGCATCTCACTGGGTGATTTTGGACAATTATTTTTCTTAGCCCAGACTAACTCCCAAGATTGGTGCTGTGAGGATAAAATGAGAACTGATGTCACTTGAGCTCCATGGAGGAAATGAGGAGATGAATGTAAGAGAATAAAAGAGATTCTTGAATATAGCTCTTCTGCAGCAATTTTCTTAGATTACATTGATGAGTTTTCTCTTTATGTTTGTTCTCTTTGACCAAGATAATATTATTTGATTTAGTTCCTAATAACTCCTAGATTATGACAATATATAATAAGTAACCAGTAAATACAATACACAAATCAAAGTTAAATAGTATAAAATGGGAAAATATAATTGTTCTAAAATATCTAAAAAGGATTAGAGTAAATGTGGCATTCTGTACAAATTATAGGATAGTACTTGGCTATTGTCAAGGATAGAAAATAAAATTGATCCAATAATAATAACAACATCTTGAAATAAACCAAGATGAAAGAAACCAAGTTGGCGACCAAAGAGACTTTCAAAGGCTCCCATACCTCCTTGTTTCTAAATGAAGAGATGGTTATTTTGCCTTTGTCCTCTTGGAATGAAGCTGCTGTTTCTACTGTGGGCTTTCTTTCCCCAAAAATTGCCAAACAAACTAATCAAAAGTAGATTTTCCTCATTTCCTTTTCATTCACCAAAGATTTCTGCTTTGCCTTTAAGAATAGGGTGGGTAGTGCCCCTTTTTCCACACTCCTCTTTATTGTGCCTTCATAGATTTCTATCCCAGGTGGAGACAAAAGGAGAGATTAAATAGGGATTTTAAATAGGGATAATTTTTAATGATTTTAATAATGTCACAGCTACAAATATTTGGTTTTAATTGGCTTTTATAGGGGAAATGTTGTGTGTGTTGTTTGTATTGTGTTATTTTAATATGCTGTGAGCCGCCCTGAGTCCCGTGGGGAGAAGGGCGGCATATAAATTATGAAAAATAAAAAAATAAAATAAATAAATAAATTATAGGGGGAAAGTGGATCCTCTTAAGGCAATTGAAATGATTCACTCTGCTCTGTGATTCATCTCATAGTTCCTTTTTAAATGGCCCTTACAGGATAGCAGGGATCATATAGATCTTCTAGTCTAGCCCCCTGATCAAGCAGGAGATCCTATACCATTCCAGGCAAAGGGTTGTCCAATTTCTTCTGAAAAACATCCCATCTTGGAGCACCCACAACTTCTGAAAGCAAACCATTCCACCGATTAATTGGCCACACTCTGAATGCATATTATTGCAGCTGACATTTGCATCAACATATAAATCCCCTGTTTCAGAAAATGGAGGGGCTGTTGAAGGAACTATATGAAGAGATAACAAAAGTTCTTGAGTTCTCTACAAAGTGAGAATCTATTAAGGCACGGAGGGTTTTTTTTCCCCCTGTAGTGAAATCAGGGATCCCTTAGGCAAATGCATTGACATGGATTCAGTCAATGCTAGCAATACTGAAAGGATTCTACATTGCTCCAAAAGTGCCTCACAAAATACTGTAAAAACCAACTCTTGGCATTTAAGACCCCATGCACCAGAGGCCCCAAATTTAGTTGTATTAACAGGTGAGCCAGGGAAAGGTCTGCTGTGACCAATTAATAGCCTCCTTTGGGCTTTTCCTTTGGGGATGCCTTGAACGAACCCTTTCAGCTGCCATTTTTGGAGTGACATGCGCTAAGCCAGCTGGAAAACTGCCCTCCAGTAGTATTGTTACAACTCAGAATTTGTGCAAATCCTTTAGCAAACATCTTCTCATATGAGGGCATGAATGAAGCTGAAGGACCCGTTCCTTGCTTCTCATAGTCAACAGAGGAAGAGGTCAGATTGACTTGAAAGCAGGAAGAGATTGCCTGTCTTCAAGTCAAATCCAGCCTCCAAAATGATCCAGGTTCTCTTGGTAACCATATGCTTAGCAGTTTTTCCTTATCAAGGTAAGATGTTCTCTTTGGTTCCCTTGTTCAGATTCTCACTGCTATGTTGGTGGATTTTGTTTTGGGTTTTATTTTTGACAATTAACCTAAATTTGCTCCACTTCAGTTTCTACAGATTTAGCAAAAGAATGGTCTCAAGGATCACATTTGTTCTAAATTGACATAAATGGTTTCTTGGTATTTGCTTAAATTTTGTCAAGCCACAAGCAGATCCTAAGAAAGAAAAGTCCTAAGATCTTCAGAAGAAAGGCACATTCAAGTTGGAGAGAATGTTTTTCAATAATGTGAGTTTTAAAAAAAGAATTCAAATACTGAAGAAGAGAGAGAGACAGAGTTTGTGGCAAAAAAATTTCAAAAAGCAAAATGTTAAAGAAAAATAAAGTGTTTTCGGTTTTAATTTTCTTTCAATAGGTCAATTAGACATCCTGTAATTAAACATGCATAATATTCAGACAAACAAAAGCTAGTGCTATTGTTGTTACAGAGAATCTTCAAACTATAGTCAAGATAATATGACACTAACTTTTCTCACTGCAAGATTTTGAATTATTTTAAATTATTTCTTCCCTCCTTTCCTTTTACTCTGCAGAAAACCAGGGAGGTTCCCTTCTGAAATTCTTCCCAAGTTCTGCTTCCTTTTGTGGGCTGAGATACTTATTCCATGCCAGTTGACCAGTCTATGGCTCTTCTTCCTGTCTCCCAAGTCATTCCCACATATCATTACAAACAACAATACTCAACTGATTCAGAAATTGCCAAACACAATTAAGGGTTATAGACTCACTGCCATAGCCCTGGTTTTTCTTTCTTTCTTTGTTTGTTTTTTTAAAAAATAGCAAGGAAAGATGGAGATGGCCTTACTAGCAATAATTCATGGAGAACAATATAGGAAAGAAGAAAGGGAGATGGAAGGGAAATTGCTGCTTATTCTGTGCTCTAAGCAAGAGAGGAATAGTAAGCTTCCTTGCTAGTAGGTGGAATTGAACCCCTCCCATGATTCTGGGAGCACCAGGTACAAATGGGTAGTACATAAATAGTTATGAGGAAGATGTATTCTTTTGTCTGGGGCTGCCCATCAGTCTGAAAATACACATTTCCAGGGCCAAATGCTAGTGGGTTTTTTCTCTCTCTCCCTCTGTCTCTGTCTCACTTCTGTAGGTGTTTGGCTAGCAGTTTCTTTCCCATGCCCTGTGGTTGTTGATATTTGAGTTTATTCTTTTATTTCCACTTGCAACTATAAGCATAACTTTACCCCTTCCCTTCCATTAATCTGCTAACAAATTTTGGTCTCAATTGTGATTGTACATCGAAGAGTACCTGCAGGTATCAGACTGCCATGTTTACAAAATGAGTTAAGGAACAAATATCAGTTGACCATGCAATGTCCATATGGGGACCAACTCTAAATTGTTCAGCTATTGGTCTAATTCTGAAATCACTACATTATTTACATGTTGTTAGGTGCTCCAGTGATAATTATGATGCTGTGCGCTGTCCATAGATTCTTTTAAAAATGAAAGAAAGGAAAGTCAGCAAAACTATTAGGATGGCAGTGAAATAGCAGTTCAACTGAAAGGAATTACTAATAAGCTGCATAACAAGCTAAGTTTGCCTAGCTTTTAACTAACGGATATGCTAAACCATAATGCAGTATGGTTTACTGAATTGTATGAATCAGATTATTGTGATTTACAGTTTCTCGTGTTATCCTTATCACTCAGTGCACAAACTTGCAGATTGGTTGAGATTATTTATTTATTTCTTTCTGATTATTCAAGCTCCAAAATGTTTCTTTTGCACCTGCCCAAAGCAATGCCTCTAGTTAGATTTCCAGCTCCCAAAAATGATTCAGCAAATTGCCTTCCCAGAGAAAATCTGGATTTCTGTGCTGTGTCCCACTAGAAAAAGATTCCATTCTTCACTGATAACTGAATAACAAATTGTTTTGTGGATGTGAGAATGGTAGAATAACATCCCAAAGTAAACTAAATCTTCTTTTCTTTTTCCTTACAAAGGGAGCTCTATAATCCTGGAATCTGGGAACGTTAATGATTATGAAGTCGTGTATCCACGAAAAGTCACTGCATTGCCCCAAAGAGCAGTTCAGCCAAAGGTAAGAAAAAGATCTTTGTTTCATCAACAAATTATTTCTTGTCAGCCCACAGAAAGTTTGATATTCCTTTGGTGCCATCTAATGGTTATCTGGATTTTGCATTGCAATCTACCGGTATGTTCCTGCTTGAATTATTTATGTATTAATTAAACAAATTTATATGGCCGCCCAGTTCACACAAAATTGAGGAGACTCATGGCAATTTACAAACAGAATTTCCTAATATGTATAGGTTAGTATAACTCATAAAGTGTTGGGAGACCCGCAGCCGTTCAGTAAAGAGGGATCAAGTACAGAATTAGCCTTGAGTCACATCACAGCTGCAACAGATCCAGGACTGACATCCTCTCCCCCCCCCCAGGAAATTTCATTAAAGCTTATCTATCTGTTCTGAAGAGAAGGGAAGCAGCCTAGGGAGATTCCTGTATTATAGGCAGAATACAGTAAAGTACTTAATTTAAACTCTGCATGTCTACATGCATCACTTAGAAATATAAAAGATGTGTTTCTAGGGGAAGATGGTTTGGTGGTTACAACTCAAGATTAGTTCTAAGAACCAGATTCATGTCTATCACTGGATGACTTTTGAGTCAATCTCTCTGTCCCAGCTCAACCTCATTCACCAAGATATTCAATTAGAGAATGAGATCTTGAATTTATGCAGGAAAGTTAATTTAAGATCTTACAGTTCAAAGCACCAGATGAAATACTCTAAATCTAATAAATAATTTGGCTATGGCAAATTATTCATTAGATTTAAATTGATACAGGTGTAGAGTTGTCAAGAGAGTACATACTTTATTTGCCTATTTTTTAAAAAAATAAACCCTGAATTCTTTGCTTTTCAGTATGAAGACACCATGCAATATGAATTTAAGGTGAATGGAGAGCCAGTGGTCCTTCACCTGGAAAAAAATAAGTATGTTAACTCAGTTCTTTTTCTTAAGTTCATTTGGACAATGTGGAAAATGTATATTCCTGGACACAATATAGGAGAAATAATAATTGCATTCCTTTCTTTGGAAATTAACACTAAACTAAATGTTACTGTGTAGGAAAAATGGATATAGATATTGAGCATGTTAATTATATCTTACCTCAGAACTGAGATTTTTTTTACTCATGCTTTCCTGTAGTACACTGCTCGACCATAACAATTTTTATCAAAGATGAACCATTCAAGGCTCATAACCTTTATCACTTGAATTAACTAGGTTAGTTGTGAAATATTGCAGAGATTTAAAAATGATTGTTTATGCTTCTTTACAGACAGTCCGTCAATCTGAATAACATTTCCTACGAGACCTACATAGCTGATCAAGTTACATCAGAATTTATATGTTAAAGCAGGAAAGGCAGGAAATGTCATGTCCTTTTAAGGCCCAAAAGGTGACATGACCGAAACAAGCCCCGATTTCACTACACTTTTTTTTAAAGAATGCCATATGAGTCTTCTCAGAGGCGTTCCATTTCAACTGTAAATCAAGATATGAATATACTGCTCCCCTTTATAGACCAAGCAGTTTCATCAGACTGTTGCATAGACCAGAAGAATAAAAAGAAGACGCAATAGAAAATGTCTTCTCCTGGTCAATCATTCTCCTCTCTGAGCCTTGATGAAGAGAATTGCACAGCTTCCTTGGTGTAAATCTCTATCCTCGGGTGAATCTAGTATGCGCAGCCCTCCTCTTAAATAGCCATGGGATTGAAATACCTGCTCCATTCTTTTGATACCAAACAAGATGCTTACATTTCCACTATACAGTAGTTGTGAACTTATTATAAAATTATCTCAGTCTTACTTAATTCCTGACATAGATATTCTCTTCTTTGCAGAGGACTTTTTTCAAAAGATTACAGCGAGACTCATTATTCCCCTGATGGCAGAGAAATTACAACATACCCCTCGGTTGAGGTAGGGTCTTACTTTTAAGAGTGTTGCTTTTAGGAAGTAAATTGAAGCAAATGTTTGTGCACAATATTACAAATATACAAGAACGACACCAGGCTACTCAAATAAGGAGGGCTGTATATGTATGAAGTATCTTATATTGATATGTTCTTATAAGGATGTATGGATTGTTAAATCCAGATTGTTTTACTCATTGAATTACCATGGCAGTATTTCAATCATCCAGTTCTTTCCTACTGGTTAAAAGCCAGCATTTTGGGGAGTGAATTTCACAAATAGATTTATTATGAGAACATCAGGTTTATAAGATCTATATTTTTATTTTGAAATCAGACTACAGGGATACATGCAAAGTCTTTTATTTGTAATACCAAAAGTGATAACAATTCACTTTGCTCCTATACAGAAATCCATAAAATATCTTTCACATTAAAAGGGTTCAGAACATGGCCTGCCAACTGCAAAAAAATGACAGCACTAACATGCTTTGTGAAGTCCTTGGCTCCTTGCTCCCAAATTGATCTAAATGTGCATCCTCTGTCTCCAAAAATTATCTACTTCTGGCTTAGCATCTTCAAAGGTCATACAAATTGCTCCTATTTAGTGTGAAACTGAAATCTCTTGATTTTAATGTCTACATGGATCCTGCTTCCAGATAATGCTAGGAATTATATCTCCCTGTATATTCTGAAACTTTCCTTGTGTGAGCTCAAGGAAATAATGACTATTTGGTATCATTAGTAAATGTGAATTTTTTCATACATTATGGTAAGATTTCAGAACGTAGGACAACCATCAAGTCTGAAAGTTTCTTCAGCAAATCCTGTGGTTCAGCACTAGAGTTGACCTCCAAGAACACATTTTATATTTGTATGTTAGTTGTCTGCCCAAAAGTTCTTAGCTTTGTGCCATCAGTGGGACTTACCCTGCAGTGTGACTTGATTTATGGAGACTTGCATTTATCTTATGTTCATTTTGCAACAATCAATATTAAGCAGGTCTTCTGTCCCCCTGAATCAAAATTTTCTGAATAATTGCTGTCTTAATATTTCATTGATGTGGTGGAATACATTGGAACTGTACTTCTGCTCATCAAATCACACTACAAACCAACTTTAACCAGTGTAGTCCTCTTGTCTCCCTCCAGGATCACTGCTATTATCATGGACGCATCCAGAATGATGCTGCCTCAACTGCAAGCATCAGTGCATGCAATGGTTTGAAGTAAGATAATCTCTAATCTTTTATTTATTTTATTAAGAATAATATACTGCTCTTGGAGTTGTCACAGTTAAAATGAAGGACATCAGTTTTTCATGCAAATGAGTTGGGTGTGATCCAAGACTTCTGCAGAATTAAGAAAGACTAAATCAGATGTGTCTAAAGGAGCTTCCAAGCCCCTGTCTCCTTTACATATAGGAAGTGATGTTACAGGTAGAGAAGATAAATAGGTTTCAGATTGCATACCTTGCTAGAAAGTGTACAGGAAGAGGCAAGCAGACTCTTCAGTTCTACCCAGAAACACTTTCTTGAGACACTCTGCACACCTTCTCCAGCCAGCTTGATATCTTAGCCACATAAAGATCCCAAAATTCAGAAGGTCCTTATCAATAGTCAGAATCAACGTCCTCTCAACATCTGTTACTGAAGGAAGGCACTAAAAGACCCCATTTGAACAGAGTCTGTGTCCATGCAGTGGAAGAATAAATGAAAAGATGGAACATAAAAGAAAAACAACAGAATAATAAAGGAAAAACAGAATGATAAGAAACTTTATTTTTTAAACATCCTAGGAAATATGCAATATTGGATTCAATGCCAAAGTATTTTCAAACAAAGACTGTACAGATATTTCGTGGTTGTATTGAGTATGTGAAATCTCTTATATCTTTCTGTTCATAGCTGTATCTTTGAGATGTATGAGAAAGCGATAAGAGTGCTGAGTAAAGAAAATAAAAAATTCAGTGGGTGTTAAGAAGGGATTCAGAAACACATAGAATGGTTAGTTAAAAATGGGTCTCAGAGCTGAGTTTCATTACCCAACTGGCTAACATCATCAGTGCAGGTTATCTCTGAACTAACAATATTCTATTCTGTTGCTTCTCCATCTCTGATCACCCTTTCCCACATTGTTTTACAGAGGACATTTCAAGCTTCAAGGGGAGATGTACCTTATGGAACCTTTGAAGTTTTCTGACAGTGAAGCCCATGCAGTCTACAAATATGAAAACGTAGAAAAAGAGGACGAGGCCTCCAAAATGTGTGGGGTAACCGAGACTAATTGGGAATCAGATGAGCCCATCAAAGAGGACTCTCAGTCAAATCTTACTCCTGCAGTAAGTCTCATAGTAAACATAGTTTGAGAACCGGGATTCATTCACTTGTTTCTAAAATGTAAAGTAAGAGAGAAATTCTTTGGGGAAGGGGTGATTAGATAGAATTCCAAAGGGAGGACCCCCCATTTCTATTTTTTTTATTCTAGCCATGTTATAAAAGAAATAATGGGAACTTGATGAACAGAAAATACATGTTTTAGGCTTATAACATTTTCTTTGGTCATACAGATTTGAATCAAAATGGATTTAAATGAATCTCCAAATCATCTCCACTTTCTAAGTCAATTCTGAAAAGTAATTTAAATTATCAATTTGGATGCCTCTTTTATGCATGCAGAGAGGACTTGGGATAGGGGGAGAAACTGGTTTGAAATATTTAACAGTTTTGAGATGTCTGATAAAACCATTACATAATCTTGACTCCATTTTCCAATTTGATTTGAATCATCAAGTTGAATTGATGTAATGACTGAATGAAAAGTGCCAAATTGAATCTGGTCACAATTGACCCTCATACTCCCAATATTTTCCTCCTTTACTGGAGGAACAAAAATTAGAAAACAAAATGTTGCATCCAAAGTGACAGTTCATTCCTTCCTTTGAATGGCAAACGTTGAAACTGCCTGATACATATCTAGAAGTTCAAAATCTCAAGTTTTTTTTATTAAAATTGACATGGAACAAATGTGGTTGTTACAATGGAATACCAAAAGACAAGTGAAGATTTGATTGTGAAGTTTGGTTTGCCTTTTGGCTTCAGTGTTTCTAGCAATTCAAGTTTCTTTATCCTCAGCAAGTTGTGGTTATTTATGTTTAATTGGTTCTTAATTGGTCCTCTATCTTGAATGTCCTTTTCTCAATGTCAGGTCATCATCACTTTATTCAAACTGGATCTTGTGCAGCAGAGTTAAGAAAGTGGCTGTCAGAGAGCAAGGAGAGAAATTGCACTCTGGAATTGGCAATTTGGCCTTGTAGTTCTGTGTGCTGAAAAAACACGAGTACACTTTCCTAGGGAAAGAAGCAAGTAACGCACCCTCACACATTCAGGTCTTAGCATAAGTCTACTTCCTGAGCAATCTGGGTCCTCCAGTGGTGGAATCTAACAGGGGAATGCAGGAGGGAGGGGCTCTTTCCCAGGGAAACAAGAGGCAGATCAGCAATGAGTCCTTGGATGGCAGAAAGAAGCCCCGAAGGGATCCTCCCTAAAACCTTCACAGGGTGTATCTCATGGTTACACACAGTGTGCTTTAGTCTGGCAAGATTCCTGTCTATACGAGAACAGCAATAAAGAAAATACTCTGAGCAATTAACTATGTTTTCTTGTTCCTTGTGGCTGAGAAGTCTGAAACAATATTTCAGTAATTGTTTTAAAATTACATGAAAAGAAAGGTACGATTCTTTGGCCATTTAGAGTGAGTTCAGTGACACAAAATGTCTGATTGCCTCCCCTTACCTTGTCTTTGATGCGTAGTGTGATATGATTGCAGGCAAGGTCTAATTGGTTCCATAGCATGACCACATCACCGTGTTTCTCACGTGATTGGTTGGGATCCTTTGTTTGAGAAGGAAAAGGAAAGGTGAGAAAGTCATTGGAGCATCATTTAGACAGGCTGAAAAACAGGTCAAAGAGAGCAATTTTCTCATATGCCTGTTCTTATTCCTATTAAATTTGGTTCAGAATTAGGTATTCATATATACCTTTATCTTTAAATGTAGGCATCATAAATTCCAAAAACAGATTAACTGGAAACAAGTGCCACACCTTATTAATACAAAGAAAGTGAATTTTTTTAAGGTGACCACTTTTGTTTGTGCTTGAGAATCCATTGCATAATGTACTTTTTCCTCAAAACTTTGTCAGCACTTTTTCTAAGTCAGAATTCCCCAACCTTTCCTATTTTGTGGACAAGTGGTGGGGAGGAGATGGTTCCACATGAGCAGCGGGGTCATGCGTGCACCCAGCTCTATTTGTGTGAGCAGTGGGCACACGCACCCACTCATGCAAATGGAGCACACCCACCCATGCTTGCTCACCGGTCATGCAAGTGGAGATGCAGGCGCTCACCCGCAACTTCCATGCCCCCATTCCGAAGGGCTCAAGGCCCAGGGCTAAAATTTTAACAAGCTGTCTCCCTATAAATGTCTTCTTGAAAGAACCAATATTTCTGAAAGTTGACCAGAGAGTAAAACAAGCATTTTCTGATTATCTGATGATGACCATCATTTTTGTTGGCTGCTGGGAGCAACATGTCTAAACAGCCTTTTGTTTATTGTTCTGTTTAGCAACAAACATACTTGGATGCCAAAAAATACGTTGAGTTTATCATAGTTGTGGACCATGGAATGGTAAGTATCCTGGATATCTTTCCATTTTATTTCTGCATTGAGCACAGCATTTTGTTTCTGCCTTTTTTAATGTGGGCATTTTTGAAGAGATTAATAAACATCCTAACTGGCTTTCTCTTAAAATGTACTTTATCATAAACTTTGATATTTTTTGTTATTGGATCCAACCAATATTTACAAAGTTAAGAGTCATTTGTAAATATATTCTAATTTGCACATTTTTTCTTCCTGGATTCCATTTAAATTTATTTTTATCCCACACTGGTTAAACAGTTCTGTAGGTTTCTTTGAAACATTCCTGCACTCTTTGTTTGTCCAAATTGACAACACAAGAAGAAAAAGATGTATAGTGAAAAATGCTTATCTCACACATCTCTGAACATGGAAATATAGCATCCAATTTAGGAAAACATTTCAGTAGGCTGATCAAAATTTTCTCCAACCAGGAAAAAAGCCCATGTATGCTGCTGAAAAGTTAAAAACCTTAATATATTAATGGTACAAATGTAGATTAAAAAATCAGCACAAAAGAATTATTTGGACTGCTTGGATAAAAATTATTATTACATCAACAAATTCAATGATCCTTTCACTGATATGTTCTTTCTCTCCCTCCTTCTTTCCCTTCTTCCTATAATTATGATCTCATCTTAACATTTTTATCTTTTATGTAGGTCACAAAATACAAAGGCGATTTAAAAAAGATAAAAACAAGAATGTATGAACTTGTCAACATTATGAATGAGGTAAGAGGACAAGGCAAATATTATTTCACTTGTTGATTTTAAACTTCTCTCAGCCCCAGCCCAGATTTTCACTGTGTTCACACAACACACTTAACCAGGTAAAGAAAGAGAAGATGGATTTCTACAAGAATGCTATCTTTATTGGCTTTGAGTGAGTTAAAACTAGGTAATTTGGCCAGCTGATGATCCAGCATGTGAGGCCATCCCAGAAAATGGGTTATTTCAGTTACTAGGTTAATAAGCCTCTTATGGGAATATAGCCACTGTGTTGGGAGGATGCAAATTCAAAAGTGTTGCAAGAATTCAATCAGGACTATATCTGTAGCTGGATTCTTTCAGGCTGTGGTTAATGGTTCTGAATTGGGAGATTAGAAAGAGATGGACAGAGACTTCTGGTTTGTTGCTGTGGCTGCCGCAGACATTTGGAAGGCAAGCTCCGTCTTCCGCATTCTTTTTCGCTCCACTGGTGGACCCTGGAAAGGGTCAAAAATCGCCCTGTAGGGGTGACGAGCAAGGAGGGAACCCGCTCTTGATTGCAGGAGGGTGGCAGCCCTTCTGCTCGATCTGGGGCAGCCCTCCAAACTGGCAGAGGAAAGACTGGCCATAGTAATATGGCCAATCATTAGGCTGCAGACAGCCGAAGTCAAACTTACTACCAAGCACTTCAAAAGCAACGCAGATGAAACTGGGTGAGATCTGATCTCTTCTTTACTCTAAGTACTTTCTCTTGCTGTAAAAGCTACCTGAAGTATCTTTCCCCCTGTGAGGAGAGAGGGAAGGGAATTTCTATTCTACCCTCTAAGAATAGCGGCATCTGACTACCCTGGGGAATTAAAGCATTAAAAGAACAACTTTAATCTAATTGGATTTATATGTTCTTGATACTTGGGGACCAAATTTTTTCCTATTTTTATTTTACTCTTGTTTTTAATCTACAAAAAAGAAATAAAATTGGAAAAAGGACTATAAAAATTTTGGACTCAAAAAACCTTAAATGGCATTGGTGACATCTTGTGGTGATGTTTGATACTACAAATTGTTATTTCCTAAAAGAGACTTGGCTCAAAGCCCAGACCTGAGATAAGACTTTTCTGACCTTGGCACCACCTGTGAGAGACTTAGCTATAAGAGTACAGCTGAGTGGCATAACTGGCCTACTTGAACTGTGAATGTAAACCTTTATTGACTCTCAGATTTATAAGTGAGAAACTGTTTTCCTATCTCTTCATTTGAGGAATATTGGTCACTATATGAGATGTTGAAATACCTTGGATTATAAAATCTTGCTTCACAAACAACTTCTACTAGAAAGACTATTTATAAACATGTGAAAGAGATGGATGAAGACCAGGAAAAGATCCTTTCCATGTTGAAAGCAATACATGAAACCATTCTTTTAGCTTGTGATAAAATAAGACTTAACATAAAAGGTCAAGATGCCAGCTTAGATACACAAACCCAAACTTTGACTATAATCAAAGAACCAACAATGCAGAAGATAACAGAAGAAGTGGGACAATCAAATATTAAGACAGAGGACTCAATTGACCAACAAATACAGCTGATGGAAAATCCAGAAAAGGAAGTGACAACACTAAAAATGGAAATGACTTTCTATATAAACCAGAAGAAATTTGAAAAAGAAGAACAGATTGAATGGAAGACAAACATATCAGGGCAAGCATGGGGAATTGGAATAACAGGGAGACAACATAACAAATACAAATGGGCTAGTCCTTCCAAAAAATGACAATTAAATGGTCTCCTTTAATTTAAATAAAATATATAATAATAGAGGGAGATCTATTTGATGATCTAAAAGCACTGATATGGAAGCCTAATTGGCAAAGGAAGAAAGCCAGAATAAGGTTAAATAAAATTGGGGTTTTGACTTATTAGAGGGGATTTCATATTATTAATTAGAGATTTAAAGGGAGAAGTTGAAATAAGGGGAATTCTGGTCATTAGATTCAAAATACTTGGAAATTAGTTGAAAATAAGGACTTTATCTGTTTAATATTTAAAAATTAGACCTAAAAGGAAAAAGAAAATCAATTATTATGAATATGTTTGATTTATTGATTAACCCAAGTAATATACATAATGGTTTTGATTTATCAAAGGGAATATTGTATTATTAAGTAGATGATTTAATATGGTGGGAAATAAATAACTCTTAGGAAATAAAACAAGATTACATTCAAATAGATAAAATGTGTATTTTGGATATTAGATTTTGTTATGAATGGAGATAAGAGAAATCTTGGTTATAAATATAACCAAATAAATATAAATATCAAAGGTTAAATTGGAATGTTGATGAGAAACTAAAAATTGGGTAAAAATTAATAACAGGATATGGATTGTTTATGAAGATTGAATGTAATTAAGACATGTATAAGCTAAAAATTTATTGATAAATGTAATAATGATGTTTTTATTGAGTTGATATAATAAGAACTGCATGTCAAAGCAAGAACAACCAATGTACTAGTTTGAATACGAGACAGTAAATGTTAAGGGGAAAAGAGAAGAACTATTTGATGTTGCAACTTGAGATTTGTACTAAAGATTTTGTTATTGAACTATTGATTAACCCAGTCACCACATTGCTTTTTAATTACTTAAATGTAAAATTGGGAAATTAATAAAATATATTTTTTTAAAGAAAGAGATGGACAGAGTCAGCCTATTCTAAGCTCAGTTGATTATGAAACTGATCCCTGAGAAGAAACCTGGAGAGAGGAACTCAACTTGATGTGGATTGTGATACTTAGGAGGAGATACACTCCTATCACAGTCTTCTATTAGCCTTGTTTACATTTTCACTGTTGATGATCAGCTAGAAACAGGGAGAGAACAGGAAGATTGATGAGTCAACTCTCATCAACATTATTATTATTCCCCAATATATAGAGTCCTCAGTGCTGTCTGAGCTTGGTGGTTTCCTTGCAGACATTTCATTATCTGACTACTCCACATGAGTAAGCAAAGCAGCAAACTCAGAGAGCACCAAGGACTTCAACCTTGAGCTCCAGAGATTTCTCTGCTATTGATGCCTAGGTCTATTTTTTTTTAACCTGCCTGTAGAGGCCAATGTCGGTTGCTTTTTAATTTTGAAATGTTTTTCAAGGTTTACTTTTGTTTGAGTTTCTGACTGATGCCATGTCCACCTGACAGATTTGCATCCCTTTGAATATTCGTGTAGCATTGACTGGCCTAGTAATTTGGTTGGACAGAGATAAGATTAACGTGCAGTCAGCAGCAAATGTTACTTTGGCCTTATTTGGAGTCTGGAGAGCGACAGTCTTGCTGAAGCAGAGAAGTCATGATTGCGCTCAGTTATTCACGTACGTCTCACTGTGGGGAAAGGGAATGGGGGTGGCTGGGAGTGGAGGATAATGGGAAGGTTAGTGCTTGCACAGAGCTTTTGCTCTATGCTGTTTGCTTTAAACCATGTGTGAACTATGTTTCTGGGTCAAAGTCAACCACTTATTTTGTAAATAAGAGCTTTTTTGAGAAGTCATTGAATGATTGCAGGTGAAAAACTCAGCTTGATTTCATTTCACCTGGATTTAAAATTGAAACTCAAATGATTATCCTGGTATACTTTTGCTGTACTTACACATGCATTTTTAATTCAATTAAATAATGTTTTGGTTCCCATCGGCACCAACTCAATGAACACTTGCATTATACATTAGTAAACCAAGAATAAAGTAAAATAATAAAATACCCAATCTATATATGGTGCTTAGCAATGTGTGTGTGTGTGTGTGTGTGTGTGTTTCCCTGCCATTTCTAGGGGGTTGTGCTCAACTCTGATTCACAGCTGAAGAGCCAGCATTGTCCAAAGATGCTTCCATGGTCATGTGGCCTGCATGATCAAATGCCAAAAGCACGCGGAATGCTATTATCTTCCCCCAAATGGTACCTATTTATCTACTTATGTTTCTGTGCATTTGAACTGCTGGACTGGAGCTCACTGCATCAGGCAGAACTTGGGTCTCAAACTGTCCACCTTCCAGTCAACAAGCCCACTGTCTTAACTGCTCAGTTCCAGATACCATCATACCATAATTGTATGACAATACCAAATTGTATTGTCATACAATTTCATGAGTGAGAAAATGATATATTTCTTGTCTTATATCTATAAGATATTGCACAAATAACAATTGTGTTGTGAGGAATCTTACAGGATACTTGCATAACAAGTAGGTCTTATGAAATAGGGGCTAGATGGAGGGCAGATCTAAATACAAGAGAGAATATTAAAAAATAACAAAAAAAATCCATTTTATTTTTCCACAGATGTTGATTTGACTTTCCACCCAATCATCTTTCCCAAAACCATCTAGTCTGCAATAACCCCACAGCTAAATTGATAGACAAAATCTATTAAATAAATATGTATTTGGGGTTTGCATAGTTAACGGAATTAAATTAACCCAATGGGCTGCATTCAGACAACATGCTAACCCCTCTCCCCAACCTCATTCACGCTAACACCAGCCAGACTCACCATACAATGAAAATGCATCCTGAATATTTTTAACAGACCTGCTTAGTTAAATGGTTTCTGAGACTAGAGCCTAAAATGAATTCTAATGTTCTGAAAACTGGTAGTAACTGAGGACAGGTCGAGGGGTTTGCAGAAAG